ACCCTCCATAGATCCCACTCCCAGGTCGGTTGTGACAATACGCTGCTCCAAATGGCGGCGTTTCTTTGCAAACATGGCGGAGTGGACATCAGGGACATCAGGATGAGCCGACACGCATTCACACGTTAGAGGTATTCGTGAGGGCTGCAGTCAATTGAATGCAACCCCTGTCCCCGTGGAGACTCAGCAGGGGTTTATAAGGACCAATGGATACAGGCATTAACCAGACAAACTGAGCTGCGGCGAGCACCACGCCTATAGCCGCATGTGAGCCCTCCAGGTCTTAGGACTCATTAAGACTGGCGCTGGCATCACTACTAAGACCAGCATTTTGCATCTGACTGGCGTTGTGTGATACACGTGCTAGTAAACTTCAGCTGCGGTCGCTATATGAGTATCCTCGGCTCTGTCTTATGCATCTGACGCGCCCAAACGCCGGCATCCGCCCCCGACTGGTGAAGCCGCGCTCGGGCAGCTCATGTCACTCCACTCCACACCGCGACGGTCCACATCAACTCCATTTCACTGAGCGAAGCGTCCCTACTATTCCGCTAGTCGGGGGTGTAAACTCACTTACACCAGAACATTGTTTTGCACAAAGTGCCGCCATCAGACCTGATGACACTGTCACGTGCCAGACATGACCTTCCTAATATTTCAAAACAGCCCCCCACCATCCACCAAATGTCTGGGCTCCCAATATCTGCTCCTGACATATCTACAAATGCTTAGTACATTTTCAGCGTTTCTGGCTCATCAAATGCCGATACTGACGTGCGAGAGGTCCGCGCGTGCGACACCACTCCGAGCCGCAAGCAGGGGAAGCCCCGATCACGGACAGACTTGTCACCAGGACGGTGCGCTAATCTCACATAGCCGCGGCCGCCACGAGCGGGGGGCGGGGGTCATGAGGTCAGTGCATCAGCATGACGCTGGCGTTATTCCGTATTAATGGCGAGCGCATTCTTCAGTAGGGCCCACTCACAGCAGTGCCGCGCTGGCCTCGGACAGCCACGCGGCGGCCCGGAAGTGACGGTCAGTGGCGCACCCGAGGGGCCTCGCCATGTAGCCTCATTCCCACCCGGAAGTAGAGAGCGCCTTGGCCTGAATGGGGAGCCTCTGCTTTGGGAAGCTACGGGAGGCGTCGCAACACTCCAGCAGAACGCCGCTCCCGGGCCCGGGTGAACGGGCGACGCCAAGCCCAGACTGCCAGCAGCTCCGGACCCAGATGGAAGGCGTCCCACGCCCAGCTGAAGCGGCCGCAGCCCTAGGCATGGCTGCGCATCAGCTTTGGCAGACAGACGGCAGCGGACGAAGAGGGGAGTCCCCGCCTCCCGGAGTGGAGGCGCGCTCCCCTAGCTCTGGTGAAGGTGCGCCCCAATGTTCTAGCACAGCCCGAGGCACCAAGCAGAGGGGCGCCCGAGCCTTTAGAGAGACATGATCCCCAGCTCCAGCACAGGTCCTCAACTCCAGCACAGGTCCTCGGCTCCAGTACAGGTTCTTTCCTCGCCACGGTAGACACCCCTAACGTCATATCAAGGACGCCCGTAAACGCGTGCAGCCGAACGGCCCAAACCCCAGTACAGGAGCGTGCCGAGCCTCCAGACAGATGGCAACCCCTCGCGCTGCTGCAGGTGTCATCCGGCCCTGGCATAGGTGCTCCCTTTCATTCGGACAGAGTGATGTCGTTTACGAAGGAGGAACGCCCAAGACGTAAGAAGAAGCACGCCTCGTGTAAGTGGGCGAAACGTCCATCAGCGTATGAAGAAGTTTACCAGTCGCATGTCGCGGTGAAACCCCAGCATAGGCACAGGGGCACCCCAAACGACCAAGTACAAGGTGCGAGCCGAGCCTGGCTAGGCCTGTTTGACCCCTAACCAGATGGGAGAAGCCCAAGGCCAAATACAACATCTCACGCCCAAGAACAGATACACTGCAAAATGGATGCGAGGCCACGTTCGAAGTCGGGCTCAACGGCACTGGGAAGAGGCGCGTCCCCAAATATAGGTAAAGGGGAGGGGGGACACATACGAAGGGATGCAACCAACCATAGAATCACACCCCGAGCTAAGTCACAGGAATATCCCATGTTCGGACAGGGACAGGGGCCCATAAACCCAGTAGAGCGGCGTCCAAAAACTTGATGCTTCTTCAACAAATTGTACAAAATTTCGCCTGAGCATTTAAATGTAGCTAGATAGGTGTTTCTAAGACCAGGTAAAGGGACATCCCGAAGCAAGGGAGGAAAGTAGAGATGAGGAGACAGCATAGCTGAGGAGACGGGTGGATAGGAGCGTCACGGAGAGTAGAGAGGTATGCAAGGAGTGCGTACTTCTCCAATGTAGAATAGAGCTCAAATCTGGGTAGAGGATGCCCAGACCTCGGCGGTCTTCCACCTGTAATCTTAACAACATAAATGATCAGGAGAGCTGAAGAGGAGGCCCGCAAACGAAGACGAATCGAGCATACGAGTAACATGTTGAGCATCCAACGTCAATGATTAACTGCCTAAGACCCAGGTCAGCTGCGTGTTAAGTTTAATTAAGGATACAGATGAACTGCGCCTGAGCAGCATCCGTGTGTGTGTGGGCAGAGCAAAGCGTCTCAATTATCTATGTGGTTAAGTGCACTTGCGAGGAACAGTATGCATATAGATAACGGTACTAAAAGCCTTATTCCTCGTAGAACAACCAGGAGAATTGAAAGATAGATGGGTTTGAAATTTCAGCTTTTATTGCCTTGATTATCAAATCATCACTGCTTCGAAGAGCGACGTGTTGACAAATTACGACCATTGTTCCTACCCCCTTAGGCTTTACAGCTTCAAACGGGCACAACGGTCGTTAACTGTAAGTCCCTAGGCAGATATATGAAACGCACTAATATGCAAAGTGTGCTGCGCGCCGATAATTACGGGCGTAATGGGAGTCAAACTTAGGGCACACTGCGATAGTGACCCACTCCAACGAATTGAAACACTACGACGGCTGCTCAATACTGCCAGTCGACGAAGGCATCATCCTTCATGTATGCTTCATTTGCCATTTTAGAACTGGGCTGACAAACGACGAAGCGATTTTACATTTGTGAAAATTTTTGAGGTTTGAAAATGGTTCTAAATTTGTGAAGAGAGTCGGAGGTGGGCGGAGGGAATTCAAAAGTGGTGGATTCTGGGTTGGATCCCGCAAATGCAGTAGCTCAACGGCTCTGCATACAGATCGACTCATGACGCAAATGCCAGTGCCCGACAAAACATGTTAAGTTCAGCGGTGTGTTCATACGTTCTGCATCACGTCCCCGCGTTATCCAAACAGCTGATAGCGTCGAGGATCGCCGCCGGTAACGGCGACCGTACCGTTTTACCTCTCCCAGGCTCGCACGTTCGCCGTGATGATCCCATGACCACGCTTAAATCTGAGATCGCTGGGCCAAGCTGCTCGTTTGTACCCGTGGTTACGTATTAGTGAAAATGGGGCGTTATGTCGCGTTCATTTAGAGCTTAGTTAATGTAACATTGTAAGCAGTGACCCAATATCGCTTCTGTGCTAGAAAGTCATCTTTCTTATTTAGGCCAGGAAGGTGAAATGCATGGCATAGGACATTGCCATCGTGTTCTTTCCACTTATGTCGGCCAGGTGGTGTATTTCGGCCGGCCAACAACTCCAGCACTTGATATCAGATCTCAACGGACGAAGCCTGCCGCCTTGGCGCATTATACGATCCCCATCCTCCCGAACGACACCGATAAACGAAATCAGGCGGAAAATCTGAATGGAAACTCTCCAAACCCATGACGCCTCTTAGAGGAGTTGAGGGCTACTCTTAAAAAGATTCCTGCGAGTACCCCTGCTAGACAGGAAGTCAAGTAACACGAGTGTGCTGCTGCAAAAGAGACAGCTAATGCTGTCAATAGTTAAAGGGAACATTAACCCAATAATCTACGACGCGAATAAATGAAAACTGGAAGTCGGAACATGTTAGGTACACTGAGATCAACAGCACTTTTTAAAATACGTTAACTGATAGTGCTATGAGGTTAACTGCTTTATTTTTCTGGTGTTTTCAATGGGTGTTCTATTAAAGGTAATGCTCCACATTTCAATATATTGAAGTAAACATTAGATATGTTGAAATAAGCTCACCCATATCTATTGGTACATTTTCAAATGGAGAAGACTACTCTAAACAAGACAATTTGCTAAGCTCATTTGTAACTATTCTCACACTACCCCTGTCATAGCACCTCTCCCCCCTCACCACTCCCGGGCTCGATTGAGGTAAGGTGTACCACGTCCACGAGTGGTTGTTATGGCGCGCCATTACCAAGCGCCGTTCGTCAGAATCCGTTGCCTGCACCGTCCGAAGCGGCGGACCACATCCGCCGGCGGCGCATTGGCGTTGTGCACGCCGACAGCGCCCCGTTCGCCGCTTGAAAACCGGTCGGTGAGGAAAGCCGGGGGCGGTTCATCGACCCGTCGGCTGCCTTATCGCACCATATCCAAGAAATATGACCGGGCTTTGCATAACGCCTGGTGCCGCATTCCGTCTCTCTGACCACGGTGCGGGGCTGTAACGCGACATGCGTGGTTTGAGAAGCACCATTAGGCCCATAGCCAATGTCAGGATTACCGAGTCGGCGTTGGCATATCGTGAGTTTTGACCCTGCGCAGCGAATTACCGCATTAACGCTTGAAAGCACTGGCTTGCTTTACTAGACCCCCGTTCAACCCTAAACAAAGTCGATTTGCCTTCGACCAGTACCGATCCAGACCAATCGACTCACCTGCGACGGCTGGTGGTCCCAAAACGTCAGCGCACCTTCGACGGGTGCTGGTCCCAGACCATTAACCCACCTCTGACCGCTGCTGATCCCACATCGTCAGCCCCCTTCGGCCGGTGCCGGTCCCATATCGACCGACCACCTTTGTCTCGATGGTCCCTTCCCTGTCCTCCCGGAGGGAGTGTGGTCTCACGTTCGGTGGGCGCCCGGCGCCGGCTCGTCACTGCCGACGGGGTACGCCTCGTGCACCGCGCGGACGTGCTCGAGCGTGGGGCGGCTCGCCGGACGGCCGCACCAGCCGGTGTCGCATTAGCGGGTTGACACACCGGTAGAAGCGCGTCAGTTCGTCCATGACGGCTTCCGACGCCTGGTCCAGGCTCCTGTCGGCCCCAGGACAGGAGTCAGTCACAGACCGCACGTCCTGCTCCAGGCTCCTGTCGGCCCCGGGGCAGGAGTCAGTCGCACACCGTACGCCTGCTCCAGGCTCCTGTCGGCCCCGGCCGGATTCAGTCACACACCGCACGCCTGCTCCAGGCTCCTGTCGGCCCCGGGGCAGGAGTCAGTCGCACACCGCACGCCTGCTCCAGGCTCCTGTCGGCCCCGGGGCAGGAGTCAGTCACACACCGCACGCCTGCTCCAGGCTCCTGTCGGCCCCAGGACAGGAGTCAGTCGCACACCGCACGCCTGTCCACACACTGGATCGCAATGCGCGCCCTGGAAAACAAGTGACGTCCTCATGACGCCTGGTGGTTTGCTGTTGTGCTTGGTTGGCCCGAGTTGTGTTTTGATGTCAATGATCACCATATTCCGTCAAGGGTGATGCGCCGAACAGCGCTAACACTACTTGGATTACCGACTTATTCGCTACTCTCGCTTATTCTGGACAAGTCAGGATCTGCACGGCACCGTGACTGGGTTTCGCTCCTTGCCGTGCGCCCGTTGACCTGGGCAGTGTTACAACATTCGACGAGGGAGCCCGTTTGGAAGTCAAGTGCTCTTCTGAAGGATAATTCCGGTATCAGCATGCCTCCCGACCGTTCCCGAACGGAACGTCCGCCTCTTAGGCCCCCTGGGATCTCTCCTGTTTGACGCCTTTGCTAAACGTTCGTCAGTTATGTTCTGGTGGAGCATGCGTGGTGCAAATTGATGAATTGTATACGGCAAATTCACAAGGTCAGCCATTGACAATGAAGTTTTAATGCCCTGCATTCTATGCATTCCTTTCTAAACAACTACCTTCGTGGCCATAAAGACTCAGCCCTTGAAAAATAAAACGAACAAAAACATTAGGATTTCTCTGTTACGTCCAAACACTTACCAAACGCGGCATACACAATTTGTTACACCATGATCATGTTGAGCACGGCACCGGTGCTGGCATACTTTGTCTCATGTTGTCTATCCCACCTCATCAGCCTGACACTCGCGACCATCGTAACTAAGCTTCGAACCGACCACAACCATCGTCACTAAGCTTCCCCTGAACACGACCACAACCATGTCACTAAGCTTCCCTGAACCGACCACAACCATCGTCACTTAGCTTCCCCTGAACCGATCACAACCAACGTCACTAAGCTTCCCCTGAACCGACCACAACCATCGTTACTAAGCTTTCCCTGAACCGACCACAACCATCGTCACTAAGCTTCCCTTGACTCAACCACAACCATCGTCACTAAGCTTCCCCAGAACCGACCACAACCAACTTCACTTAGCTTCCCTTGCTGGCTCTTGCTGGCTCAAAACTCGGCGTCGTTTTCACGCATCAAGACGGGAATGTGGACAAGGAGCAATTTAATGGCAAGTGAACGTCAGTCTTTCTGTAATACAGCAACGTGCATACGGCTTGCGCTTCTGGAGACCAGAATCCTGACCAGAATCATTGAACCTCCCTGGTGAGCCTACCATCGTCCCGGAGACATTGCAAGAAAAGTAGCACATCTTTAAACTTGTCGCCGATTTAAAAAAGACTGACATTATCCAAAACCACAGCCTCCACGAAAGGGTTTGTCGCTCGTGACTTTCCCCGAACGAGAGAAGCCAACTCTCACGGCAGTGAGGGGATCAACCCATGCGGTTTCTCGCACCGAACGATCCAAACAGAGCACATATGGTGGAGATCAGATGGCGCTTCTGACGCGATGATGCTGATGATGATGACGAGGAGACATAACACATGGCGAGAAACATGGCTTTCTGAGATATTAGCTGCATAGTTTAAATATAACAGGGATTTCAGACCATCAAAGAACAAACCATGTTTTGCGTATCAGTTATAATTTTGCTTTGCCACCCGAATACATCAGAAATACCCAAAAGCGTGAGTGGTATTCCCCGGCTATTTTAAAACCTCATTCAGTCTTCTGGCTATCCTTAATCTTGCAACGCTTAAGGTGCACGACAGCACACGCTAATGCGGATATTGCCTGCATACACCGGCCTTGTTTAAGTCCGCAGGGAGCTGTCTTCATCAAATAAAAGGATCATTTGACTGTCAGTTTGTGCTGTATATGTGACTTGACTTGAGCTACAAAACTTTGCAAGCTGCCTCGTTACTGCGTCGAAATCAACAAAATTAGCCATCCCCGGTCTTTGAAATAAACGCCCCTCTTTAGGGCACGCTGACCCAACACCCTGTTTTTCACAAACCTCACAAAACCGTCCAGTAATGCCTATAAACATTCTCATCGGCCCGTAAGTCAGTTGGTTGTGCTCCCCCGTGCCCAGCACATATCACGAAAGTGTGTCAAGCCAAGAACGGTCGAATGGCTGCTAGCTGTGGCCGTGGCCGTGACAGCACTTGTTACGTGACACCCCCACTGGCGGCCTGAAGAGCTCCTCTGGACCAAGTCTGGGCATCCTGGTCCAGAGGAGCTCACACGAGCTCCGACCATCCCGGAAACAAGCACTTCCGGACCCCGTTCAGAGGAACTCCGACGACGTCCAGTCCTGCCCGGAAAATAAAACTTCCGGTCCCCGTCCACAGGAGTTCCTGCGGCACGTGACCAACGCTGGAGCATATTACTCCCCACGAACACGCGAAGCGCCGCAGACGTCGCCGACGAGCACAGACAGCGGGGCGCGGCAGCGGGCGGTGTCCGTCGGACCGCTCACACCGCGGCGCCGCTGGACAACATAGCGGCGCACGACAGCGGGACAGCACCGTGCCACACAGGTCGCACTGCAGATGGACAGTGGAGTGTGATGGTCGCCGGGGAGGGGGAGGGGGGGGGGGGGGATGATGGCTGTGCCAGCGGCGCCGATTCCAGTGTGGATAACTCGTGAGGGAAGCCAGAGCTCCATATGCTGGACTTTGGTGACATGCGGCGTGCTGTCGGTGAAGCCACACTCTATGACGATTAACTCCTCAGGCTCACGTAGTTACCAACATTGGCTGACCCGAGACAGGAAATAAAGAATGTGCTCCGCCCAGCCTTCCCAGGACACCTGTTGTCGTTCGTTCCCCTTCCCTAGAGCACCACCGCCCGGTCCACTTCCCACGTGGTGTTGAACTGCGCGAGAAGGCTACCCGACATGTGTTTTGCATTTGCAAATTATTCCCTGAGGAACCTTGGTCGGACGAACATTATCAGTTGCATGCTAAAGACACACACACGCACACGCACGTATATATATTATATATATATATATATATATATATATATGTCTGTCAAATGTTAGCAACATAATGCTAATAATATGAGACTTAACCCCCGGCGTGCAGCTTAGTAAATACCATGAATGGCATTGGAGAGCATGGAATCATTTTCCCTAGCTGTGCAGTATTGAATGACGCCCATCCATCATGATAAAGGGCATAGGACAGGAATACCATATGTAATGAGCACCGACATATTACCGCATACATCACCGGCCGCTGCATAATCCAACGCGCTAACTGCCGCCGCAAGTTCCGTACAGGGAGCAAAAACTAAAAGGAAAAAAGTACGGTGACTACGTGCCGACGCGGCAGACATTAGACTGACTATGCTGGCGAAGTGGAGAACGGTTATCAGAAACACGCGAATAGCAGAGACGTGCCTGAAGCGCACAGGAGATATGCATCATGATGATCATTGATACCGATTTTGGACATTTAGAGTGCCGCTCCACACTGTGCCTCTTCATGCGGCGTGGAGCGACACGGCGGGATGCCGCTCGATGCAGCCAACGCGGTCTGATACGGCCCGCGCGGTCTAATGCGGCCCCCGCGGTCTGATGCGGCCCGCGCGGTCTGATGCGGCCCGCGCGATCTGATGCGGCCAACGCGGTCTGATACGGCCCGCGCGGTCTAATGCGGCCCACGCGGTCTGATGCGGCCCGCGCGGTCTAATGCGGCCCGCGCGGTCTGATACGGCCCGCGCGGTCTGATGCAGCCAACGCGGTCTGATACGGCCCGCGCGGTCTAATGCGGCCCCGCGGTCTGATGCGGCCCGCGCGGTCTGATGCGGCCCGCGCGGTCTGATGCGGCGGCGACGCGCGGTCTGATGCGGCCCGCGCGGTCTGATGCGCGCCGCGCGGTCTGATGCGGCGCGCGGTCTGATGCGGCCGCGCGGTCTGATGCGGCCTGATGCGGTCTGATGCGGCCCCGCGGTCTGATGCGGCCCGCGCGGTCTGATGCGGCCCACGCGGTCTGATGCGGCCA